TTTTTTTTTTTTTTTTTTTTTTGCTTTTTTTTCTTTTTTTTTTTTAAATAGAAACACATGTATTCAAGTTTTTAAAGAGAAATGAAACTCTCCAAAGAGACAGCCACTGCCTGAGGTCTGACCATAGCCTAGGAGTGTGCCACAACTACATACCTGCCCTGAGAGGAGTTACTAGAGCTTGTTACTGGAGTCTGTGCTCCAGTTTACATTATGGGCCAGTAGAAGGAAACAATAGTTCTTGGTACACTCCTACTGCCCTTCCCACTGAAAAAGGGAATATGACCAGCCACCTACACCAGGGAGGAATGCTAGAATCTTAACCACTGCAAGCTACATTGGTATAATGCTTGTGGCTGCCAGCATTTTCCCACTGTTCCTATAGCCAGCAGTGAGAATTCAAGAGTGAAAAGCTTTAGTAAGCTAAAACTAAGGTAGATGCTGGAGACAGAACAGTTCTTCATCCCAACCTAAACAAGCGACTGTCTAACATGCACTTAAAAATACCCAGCAACAGAGATTCAACAGCCTAAATAATCTGTCCCCATGATAAACCACCCTCCTAGTTGGAAGGTTTTTCCTAACAGCTAACCCAAGTCTCCTGCATTACAATTTAAATCTGTGACAAAAGTAACGTCCCCTCTCAGACTAGACTCACTGGCCCAGAAGATTCCTTCAGGTCCTAGGGACAGCGATCAAATCACATCAGCTGTATAAGCGACCTGTTCTGTACTTGGAAATTTTCTCAAATGCCCTCTCACCTTTTCTTCCCAATTATCTCAACATCTCCTCATGCTACATATTTTAGACCTCTATAACAATTTGCTGCTGCTTTTTATACCCCAAGTACTCCAAGAATCAAATCTGTGGTTGCATTTCCACAGTGATTCCTGCTGTACACAGCCACTTTGAGGGGGGACCACACATGGATGCCTTTGGCACAAGGTTTCTTTGGTCATTTTTCACCTCAAGGAACAAAGAGGTGAAAGGTCAGTGTTTGATCCATAAAAGGCACTAACTCCAGCATCTCGCTCTTAGCCCCAAAGGCATGATAGAATATTCTGAACATTAAGCCCTGAGAAATCCCAGAAAGCCCTGGTAACCAATTTCCATGTTTATGACCTCAGGAAGCAATTAAGCCAACATCCTGCTTCCCCCTCAAAGAAGACT